TCTAGTTTTATTGTGTTTTTAATCTTGCTCTGTATTTATTCATTGGCCTTTTTGTTTATGTATCTGTTCTTGTTTTTAGCCTTACATTGTGTCTATTTTTTTTCTCTACCCATTTTGTAATTTTGTACCTCAACAAGTCTTTGTACACTATTGGTTAAATAAGGTTAAAAACAAAGTCTCATGATGTCAGAGAAGCAGTTTTACGAAGAAAATGTAAAAAGCATAAAAACATGTATCACAAAAGTCATAAAAATGTTTTACTGATGTGTATTACTATTCTTTAGTGAGTTTAGGATAGAAATGAGTAGTTTTAGTACCATAATTAGTTACATTATTTATGGACACCCGGATGTGTATGTGTTCGCGCATGCGCAGAACGGTGCAACTGGGACGGTACGGATGCACACACATAGATATCCATATCTATGTGCACACACACCATTGCCACACACAATATGGTGGCGAAAGTAACGTACGGTTCTCATGTCCTGATGCTTATTCTCCTCTTCGCTGGTTGGCTGAGAATTGACCAATTAGAGGCTGACAGAACTGAGGCGTTGGGCTGTGGGCGGGCGTCCTGCTGTCAGGAGTGGAGTTTACAAAGTGTTGGAGAATGTTTTGGAAAGTTTGCTGTACGCTAATTTTTGTTCTCTTTTTCTGCCATGAGCTATGCGACGCTCAAAAGAAGAAAGAGGTGAGAAGTCATTTATATCATGCAGGGAGGGAGGTTCAGACACTTGAGTGCTAACTTATCAAAGAGAGCTCCGTCCTTTTTCCTGTTTTGACAGCTAGCTTTTACGCTAACACGTTACATCATGTGTTCAGGTTTCTGTAAACTATGCTCGGTGTAATATACCCGCTTCCTGATTAAAGCTAATTCTATTTTTGTTTATTAATTTTCTTTATGTGAGAAATTCGACTGCGGTTCCATATTTAGATGTTTTGAGGGGGGATTTTTTTAACACGGAACCAATGAATGAAGTGTCGTTGCTACGGGAGCAGTTACCTTGGTGTGTGTTTCTGTCATGTTCAGACTTTGCTATCAGAGAAGGTGAGTCAGATGATGGACTGGACCTCCAAGCGTTCAGTCATCAGGATGAATGGAGACAAGTTCCGTCGCTTTGTCAAAGCTCCTCCTAGAAACTACTCGGTATTCATCATGTTCACAGCGCTGCAGCCGCAGAGGCAATGTGGCGTTTGCAGGTAGGTGGTTAAAACGCTGTTGATGAAACCGAAGCTGAAACGAACAAACCAGGGCAGTTATGATTTCATTCATTTGTAATAAAAAAAAAAAAAAAGTGTAACAGCAACAATGTGTTTCTTCACATTTTAAAATACTTATCAGACACAACTGGTTGGGGCTCACCTGTTTCTAAAATAAAAATGCTGAATATATAGAAAGAAAAAAAGAAATAGAACTTTATTGATCTCACAATGGAAATATTCACTCTGCATTTGACCCTTCCCCTTGGGGAGCAGTGGGCTGCCATTGTGTGATGCCCAGGGAACAGTATGGGGGTTAATGGACTTGCTCAGGGAGTCAGAGTGCAGGCTGTGTGGATTGAACTGGATACTTGCAACCCACTTAGAGCACAAACACACTGCTCTAAACCACTAGGCAAACACTCCCCCAAATGCAACAGTATGGATAGCACTATGAGGTGCAACAGTGGGGTTCTTGTGTTTTCCAAGACGCAAACTCTAAATAAATATATATTAGTGTTGCACTGATACCAGTATCGGTCAGGGCCCCGATCCAGCACTAAAATGGTGGTATCGGTATTGGCGAGTATAAACAAGTAGGGCACAGAAACCATTTTGAGAGCCAAATGTTTATTCAACTATTGTCACCCATTCCAGATAGGCAATAAAAAGTTCTACTGGATTTACTTTGTATTAGTCTTTTTCCTGCTTCACAAAGGTAGGCAGCAGCCTGACAAAGTCATGACGGCAATTATTTTACATCCAAGCAGCAAGCAGCTCTTCATCTATCCACACACACATCAATTTTAAACAGATGGTATTGGCCAATACTGCACAGCCAGGTATTTGATATCTGGCCAAAAAAATAAAATAAATATATATGTGTATGTATATATATATATATATATATATATATATATATATATATATATATATATATATATATAGCTCAAGTTTGCTGACTTGCTTATGTGGTAGGTCATCTGTCCTGCAAACAGGAAACCAAGCTTGGGGGAATGAGCTACCACTGTGGGTCCTTAGGCAAGACCCTTCACGCTAATGCCTGCTTTGGGTAGATGCAGCCTAGTGGTTAGGGCATTGGGCTTGGAATCCCACTCTGGGTCCCTGAGCATGACCCTTAACCCCCACACTGCGTAGAACAATGGCAGCCCACTGCTCCCCAAAGGGGTTAAATGCAGAGAGTTAATTTTGTTGCTCTGTACTTGTGACAGTGTAATGACAAAAAAATAAAAAATAAACGGGACAGGAGAAATGTACAAAAACAATGTGATAGTTTCCTCTATATCATTCTTACTTCATGCAGTTGCCTCATTCATTTCTTGTGGAACTGCCAGTATGTCCTGAGTGGATAAACACACCTACGTCTTTGATTAAATCACAATAATATATTGGCGCTTAAGGAGTCTAAAGATAGACTGTCATCAGTTCTAAAACGAGCTGTTGTCGACCCCTTGGGGGTGGGCGTAATGGTAGCTGATCTCAGACATGAGGAGTTTTTTTAATCATCATGTTAGATTTCCCTCTCTCACTTGCTAACATATGCTGTAGCTCCTCCTTGTGTTTATGTCTTTTCTTTGATTCCATTCCTCTGCCTGAGGCTCTGGTACTTGGTTAAAAATATAGTTAATTGGCAGCCATCCTCCTGATCGGCTCTGTCTCACATTGACAGGTTTGACTTGTCCAAACCAAACTTAGCATTTATTCTATCCTATATTCCCAGCAGTGGTTAATTAACTTGTAACACATAATTAACTTCATGAAGTATTTATTTCATTTGTTCTTCTTCTTCTTTGTTTTGTTTTTTTTTCCAGACAAGCCGATGAAGAGTTCCAGGTGCTAGCTAACTCCTGGCATTATTCCTCCGCCTTTACTAACAGAATCTTTTTTGCGTCAGTGGATTTCGATGAAGGATCAGATGTCTTTCAGATGGTGAGGCGATAACTCTTACACTAGTTGTTTTACTGTAAAACCAACATGTAAAAAAAGTCTCTGTGATTAGCTTGTTTACAAAGGAATTCCACCACATTGTTCACTCAGAGCTGATTTTTAGGATAACATAGTAATATTGCAATCTTTAACAAGGCTAAGCTAACACACAAAGCCTTTGTTTTCATCCAGTACTGATGGAAATTTGGACATCACCTCACTTTGCATTACTTAAACACAGATACCTGTATAGCTAAAGAGACATTTGCATCTCCTGTGGTTCAACAGGATGATTAGTTGCAAAGCAGCATTCAGAGGCTTGTCTGTTTAAATCCAGTTTCATTTCCTGGTCATTTCAAAGCTCCTTTAATTAAGGTGTTTAAGTCCAGTGTTCCCACTGTTTCATGTTATACAGGATTAATTGTTCGTAATGTAAGTATTCTAAAGGTGGGATGATAATAATGATAATATTAACCTTTATTTTATTATTATTTTTTTTTCTAATAAAAATTGCTCTCAGCTTTTAATTCATCATCTTTGGAGAGCAGTTAACAGGTAGTCATGTGGGGACATCAAAACTTGATGCTTGCAGTCTTCTTAGACCCAGCCGCTCAGCTCTAACCACAAGGTCAGCACCCCTCCAAAATGAAACATGTCCTCTGCTTTTAAATCACCTCTTAGGGTGTAGAGAGAAACTGATAAGACCACGCAACACTTTCTCTTATAGATTAGAACCCCTTGCTATCTGGATGATAGGCAGGAACCACCATGGTAACGGGAAAAACTAGGCAGGAATCTGAACTTTTTCCAGGGAAGTTGCACAAAATATGTTTTGACAATTAACATCAGTTTGATCCCAGACCACTTTTTACTTATGGTTTATTATCAAGGATTCACAATGTTGTATTTTTGGAAATATCCAAAATGCATATATTTTACAGCCAAATAAGCCGATGTGGCCCTGACGTAGGGTGAAGGTGTTTAGCAGAGACAGAAATTGTTTACAATCAAAATGAAACTGGAGAAAATAATGTTGAAAAGGATGAAGTAATGAATACCACTAAAAAATGTTGTTGGTGGCTTTTAAAAAAACTGTTTTATGGACAGTTTAATCATTTATTATTTGTCATCCTCCCTTAGCTCCACTGCCTCTCCCTAACCCTGGCACTCCCTCTGCCCGGCAGACTGCTTTAATGTATCACTGTCCTCCTCCAATCTCGCACGGTCAGCTTCCAGAGCTGGCCCTGGCCATCTGACTCTAGTGCGTTTTCTGCACGACATTCTCCTCTCCCACGGTCATCCCCTAGCTCAGTTAATCAAATGACCTCTGAGCTGGTTTTCTTGTAAAAAGGATGAAAGGGAGCGCAGTATAAGCTAAATCCATAGTTATGTCTTTGAAACGGACCCAGTTAGTGGTTGAACTAATAAATAATGCAAAATTGGAAGAATTAGGCTGCAGCAGAGTCAGGAAGACTCAGGAAGACTGATTTATTTGATCATTTTGTATACACAAGTGTAAACAAAAAGAAATGTTGTTCAGAACAGCTCTATAGACAATCTCATTCTTCAGATCGCAGCCTTGACAAGGCAAGCAGTGATTAAAAAAAACAAACAAACAAAAAACAATGTGATATTAAGTCCCTATATCTAGTTATGGAATGTGCATCATTCATGTTTGCTTGGCGGCAGTGATGTCTGACAGATCTGGATAGGATCTGGATAGGATTTTAGCATCCAAATTGGATTTTTAACCTGGTGGAAGAGGATCTGATGCTGAAGCATTAGGGGCCTGTTGCCTGGGCTTCACCATCAGTTGTTGTTGAGCTGCTTCTACTGCCTCCAGCTCATGAAGCACTCGCTTCTCCTGTATCAGGGGAGGAAGAGGACGATGATGACGATACTGTTAGGGTGCTAGCCCCCTGGGTTGAAGGGGTAACTTAAGGGATAAAAGGTGTAACATTCAGGGATAAAAGGGGTCCCTATGTCCTCCAGCACTCTAAGCCTATAGCAGCATAACTATAGACATGGCTCAGGATAACCGGAGCCGCTGTAACTACAAGCTTTATCACAAAGGAAAGTTTTAAGCCTTCCATTAAAAGCAGACAGGGTGTCTGCCTCATAGATTAAAAATAGTAGTTGGTTCCACAGAAGAGGAGCCTGATAACTAAAAGATCTTCCTCCCATTCTACATTTACAAATTTTCAGAACCACTTATAGACCTGCAGGTTAAAAAAAAAACACGCTCTGTTACGAACATAAGGTATGACCATATCTCTGATATAAGATGGCTTTACATGTGGAGAAGACATTTTTAAGTTTTATTCTGGATCCTCTGTGTAGTCAGAAAAGGAATTTAGCTCCTTTTTGTGCCAAATTCTTAGCCCAGATTGAGCTTCGGCAATTTACTTTTTTTTTTCTTTCTGAAATGTGTGGTTCTCTGCTCATTTCGCACTACTTTGCAATGCGCTTTCAGAACTTGAAAAGGTGTTTTCAGTGAACACTGTGTCATTTGGCATTAAGGTCAGCAAAGTTCTTACTCAGTTGGAGTCTGTCACAGTGCAGGCTCATTATAAAGCAAAGCTACTGCCATTCGTATCTAATGATTCAACTTTCAGAAACTTTAAGGCTCCACTAAAAATTGCATTTGTTTTTATTCAAAGATCCTCAGTCTAGTCGTTAAAGAAATTTACATTAGCACAGAACAGTGCAGTGCGATGCCTGCCAAAGTGCTGTTTTAATACTTGATGATAAAAGGGTATCATTTGAATATTGCACCTTTTGAAATCACAATAATCATCTTGATTTTACACAGATGTGAACTACAGTTCAAATCTGTTTTTCTTTGTTTGTCTGCAGCTTAACATGAACTCTGCTCCAACCTTCATCCACTTCCCACCCAAAGGGAAACCTCTGCGATCAGACACCTATGAGCTACAGGTCAAAGGCTTTTCAGCTGAACAGCTGGCAAGATGGGTGGCAGACAGGTCAGATGTGCAGGTAAGCATTTGATTTTAGTCATCATAAATCCACAGCAAACCTAGTGGTTATAAAGTCCACCAAAACACTCAACACAAGGGGGATTTTAATTCATCCTCATCCTGTTTTTCTCTTGTAGATCCGTGTCATCCGTCCACCCAATTACGCAGGGCCTCTCTTGCTGGGGTTTCTCCTGGCTGTGATTGGTGGACTGGCATATCTGCGAAGGAATAATTTGGAGTTCCTTTTTAACAATAACGCTTGGGCTTTTTCTGCTTTGGTAAGAAGCACACTCCTAAACACATCAGTCGCTGCATCATTTATAGCACATTTCATGCCGATTTAAATCATGCTGCCAAGCAATTTAACACAAACAAGAGCATTAGAGAACTGAGGTCTTTATTTATAAAACGTAGAAAGTTACAAAAACAGTTTTAGAGGACATAATGAAATAAAAATGAAAAAAATAAATAAATGAATAACATTCTCTTCATATAAACCAAATATAAACTGTAGTTAAGGTTAAGCTCAATTTATGTTGAGGCTGTAAAGCAGTAAATATTTTAAACTGCAGTCCTTGTTCTTAAATGGGAGCAGCAACTGCATTCACCTCTACCAAAGCATAATTTCACACATTGGATTAATTACTGGATGGTATTTAAACTAAGGTAATAAAAACATAACGATTAAAAATGAAATGCAATTAAAATAGCTTCTTTGCACTTGGTGTAATCCCTTATGGTGAAAATATCTAGATGGCAAAAAATGAAACGTACAGCACTGATTTTTAAATTCATAGTTTTTTTTGTTCTGACCTCCGCTTTTATCAGTGGTTGTTATGCCTTGATGTGCGCATGATGTTCTGGGTGTTCAGCGAAGCGTAGCAGACACTGCATAAGTAAGAGATAAATGGGAGGAATCAAGACGAGACAACCCAATGATTTTTAGCTGGAGCTAAATTGTTTTTTTAAACTATTTTTACTACTGCAGAGGTCCAGAAATGAAGAGTTTTTTTTTACATTTCTGGTAACACTTCCTGGATCTTTTAGAGGAAGATCCACAAGGCAAATGGGTTTCCCTTTTTACAAGGAACTAAGTTTCTCATGTACTGTATCTTTTTCCCTACGATTTAACATCCCATGTTGTTTGTCTGCAATCAATACTGTGTTTCTTAAACTCTTTGCTTGACTCATATTTCTTCTATATTATTTCTTGTCTCACTTCAGTGCTTTACTCTGATCATGACTTCCGGCCAGATGTGGAACCACATCAGAGGACCGCCTTATGCACACAAGAACCCCAACACTGGACAAGTGGTAAGAAAATAAACCCATAACTAAAGAATTAAACATACAGCTTAGTCAGTGCTCTAAAGAATTTGTCAGACTTGAATGATTATTGTTCTGGTACTGGTTGTTAAAAATGGATGGTAGCTGTGGCTGTAATTAGATCTTAGCTATACAGTATCCGTCTTAAAGTACATGAAGCTGCACTACCCAATCTCTACACTGTTTCACTGAATAAACATTCCTCCACCTATTGTGTGTATAACAACACTGTTGGCTCCAAGATTACACAAGAGCTGAGCCTATATAGAGAACTCCACCATAGATACAACCATGAGGTTAAAAAAAAAAAAAGAGAACAGCAAATCATATAGATTGTAGAGAAGTAGTGGAGTAGAAGGTAACAGACTGAGGCAGGATCGGACTGGTAATCTGTGATACCGGGATTTGCCCGGAAGGCTGGTCCTAATTTCAGCGTGCAAGGGCCGGCCCTCCTTAAATCATACC